TTAGTTTATGGTTGGACATCAGGGCTGTTTCCATGTTCTTGCGATGGTGAATAATGCTGCTATGAACCTTGGTGTACAAGTCTCCATTTGAGCCTCAGTTCGCATTTTCTTGGAGTATATTCCAAACAGTGGTGTGGTTAGCTGATTCATATGGAATTTCTATGTTTAAGGGTGTGTGTGTGTGTGTGTGTGTGTGTGTGTGTGTGTGTGTGTACCATCGAATCAGATCTGACTGGTACAGGAGGAGATTGTCCCTCCTTCTCCAGCGGTGCATCTGGTGGATTCGAACCACATGCCTTCTGAATTGCAGCACAGCGTCTTGCCACTAGGCCACCAGGGCTCCCTTACGTTTAGCTGTTTGAGGAAGCACCACACTGCCTTTCGGAATGGTTGTACCACTGAGGCTGTAATTCTTGTGCAAAGAGGCTGGTCGTTGCTCATCTTTCTTCCCAGGAGTCCTTGTGGATTCAAGCTGCTGGCATCAGTGAATGGGAAACAATGTGAGTGTGCTGTTTTAGAAAGGGCTCCTGAGAGGCACAACCATACAGACAACAAAGATATTAGAGACTACCAGAGTTCTGGAGTGAGAAGAGGAAAGGTTAAATGTGTGGAGCACAAGATATTTTTAAGGCCAGTGAAAAGATTCCTCATGTTGATCTAGCATTGTGGTACAGAGTACTATGTGGTACTAATGAATATAACATAGATTTTCTAACAACCAACAATTTTTCAATCTGCAGCCCTCAGGCCTGGTTTTAATGGGTTTGGGTCCAACATTCTTCTAAGTGGTACAGCACTGGTCTGTCCACATGCTGTACAGAGGTAACTCATGGTTGCTGTGAAGCTGAACACTGTGACACTGATGTGTCAAATGTGATCATGGTCACCCATGGTGGACAGTGTGTGGTGGAGCTCCCTGATTAAAACAAGCTTGGAAGCAGGAGTGGCATCCACTTGTTTCAGTGATGCCTCCAGGACCTCAAAGGGGCTGCCTTGTTTTTCCAGGTTTCTACTTTTTAAAAACATTATTTGTTTTTATTTCATATTGCGTGGCATACAAAAGTCATACACGTTACATTTCATGCATGTACACTGTGTTTCACACACATCTTCGTTCATATTGTGTCATGCCATTGCTCCTATACAGTTTTATAAAATCAATCACCATTTATCTATGTCCAATATTACCCTGAATTCTAGGTCCCCATTGAATCTTTCCGAATTCCTTCACCATCACCACAGCCTTACCCACCAAACTCTGCGACCCTCTGATATTCCCCCTTCTTGTATTCAACCATCCTGCCTTCCTCCTTTTACCCCTTTGGGCTTATACACATATTTTCCTAGTTATGCTTCTATTTTTTACAATAATGATCTTACGCAGTATTTGTCCTTATAAGCCCAAGTTAGTTCACTCAGCATAACGCTCTCTAGACTCTCCCATGTTATACAGTATTCTATGAAAGCCTTGCTCCTGGGCACTGTATAGTATGCCATATTGTGGATATACCACACTTCCACAACCTATTCATTTGTTGATGGACATGTGCTTGCTACAGTGAATAACACTGCTGTGAAGGTTTCTATGTTTGACACAACACAGACTTACTCTTTCTCTGCCACTCATTTTAATGGAAAACATTTCCGTTTCTTCCTCGGGCAGGTTCTGCTTTATCCCGGGTCTGACCTCCACAGGTTTTTCTAGCCCTGCATCTTTGCTTGGATCTTCTCCAAGATACCGCTCTTCTCACACGTAGAGACTTGCCCATGGCTCTGTGTCCTATGGCTTCCCCATGAGTCAGTGCTCAACACATAAAGCAAATCCTCAACACGGCCACCCCGAGGCCACAGTGCCCTTCTCGCCCATATTCCAAGAGAGTTTCTAATGTGGTCTTCTAACGTCTACTAAATAAACTCTTTGATAATTACTTATATTGTGTAGTGGATGAATAGATGGGATGTTCCAGAAAGATGTCGTCCTAGAACATTCATTTACATTTATATAGTGCAGTTTAAGCAGCTCTAGAGACGTGGTTCATAGGGACTTTCTTTTTTTTATTTATTTGTGTTTTTCTTATTTTCAAGTTGGCTTTATTTTAATGAAAGCTTATAGAGACTTTGAATTTCCAGTTATACATTGTTGCACACTTTCATCCCTACCCACCCCTCCTCTCAGTTCCTTCTTCTCCGTGAAGAAGAAAAAAACCAAAACAGAACTGCATTGGGACTCCAAGGCAATCAATGCCTCTCTGGTGGTTTGAAGCTTCTCAAAAAGATAAGCCATCTACTCCAGAGGGATCTGGGATCTCAGAAAACCTGCTGGAGGTTCAGCTCCGAGTCAATTCTGCCTCGAAGGCAATGAGTTGGAGTTTTCTGTCACTTAAATGATTTTATTGTCTTCAGAAGAGTGGATCATGCTTGTTCATTACTAGTTAAATGGTTTTGTTGCAGTTAATAATCGAATGAGCACTTCCTTCTTCTGTGTCTCCAATTAGCTGAAAATACAGTCATTCATCTTACTAAATTATCTTGGTCACTTTTCCTTTTGATCTCAAACCAAAGCACTATCAGAGAAACCACTGTTTTATGAACACTTGATATTTTCTTTTTTACTACTAGCTTATTTTTAAAATTAATTTTAATAAAAATTTACAGTGATTTAGAGTTTCCAGTAATTCATGGTTGCACTTTTCCCCCTGCCCACCTTTTCCCTCCCAATTCACTCTTCTCTTTGAAAAGTAAAACAAAAATTCTTTCATTGTTATGCAGTCCCTCCCCCCAGGTCCACTCCACTGTGTAGCCTTTGTTCTGTACTCTTGTCATGACAATAATACCGAATCATATATCCCTTTTAAACAGTTGTCTACCTCATCTGTTTCAATGCAGTATACATCATTTTTCCCCTCCTTCTCTGTCTTCCCTCAACCCCGATGTCAGTCCTGCTTTTCAACAGTGGTGCTATGCAATATTTGTCCTTCAGATGATATCTCATAGTTGTTTTCCAGTTGACATTTTCACACCAACCCAGCGAAGTTGCTATGACTCATCCCAAACTGATTAATTTACTTCATTTTGTTGCTGTGTAGTGCTGAGAAGAATAGTTAAAAAGTTAGCAGTGGAGGGAGCTCTGGAGGCCTAGTGGCAAGAAGCTGCACTGCAATAGAGGTGCGTGGTTCGAATCCATCAGATGTGGTTGGTATGTGTTCACTGGAGAGTTGGAGGTTACAGTAAAAAAGTTAAAATCAATTGTCACCACTGCAAGTAATGGGTAAACAATCTGTACTATGAATTCACACTCACTACAGAGTATATATAATACAGCCATGAAAAAGGATGAGGCCAACTGACAGGCAGGGATGTGTAAAATCCCCATCTCTACTGGGAACTGAAAAGAAACAGCTCTATATTATTATCGTTGTTCTGCCAGTTTATTTTTCAAAGTGGGGGACTTGATGGTGTCTACAAATGATTTTCCATATAAAAAGCCACCAAGGTATACATTCAAAATTGATGCATTAGATTGCAGACAAATTAGATATGGTAGTTGTTGTTGTCATGTGCCGTTGAGTTGCCTATGTCTTGGAGTGACCCTTTACATACAACTACCCTAAACCCTGCTCTATCCTGAGCCAACCTCATTGTCTCTGACACACCTACCTCCATTACTCAGTCACTGAGGTAATCCATCTCATACAGGGTCTTCCTCTCCTGCGCTGTCCCTCTCTAAGGACTCCTTGCAACATGCTCAAAGTATGTCAGATGGAGCTTCAGAATCCTGGACTCCAAAGAGTACATTGAAAAATAAGTTATATATATATTTTTCATGTGTATATGAAAAACACGGAGGAATCCGTTTGAAATAAACACTGCCTAGCTGTGGCGGGAGTTTTCTCAGAGGTGGAGAGAGCTGCTATCCTGTCAGGTGTTGCACTAAGGACCAGAAAAGTAGCAAGCTCTGTCTCCACTTTGATCGTCCAGCAGCTCAGACAGAGAAAGATGGGTCAGTCTCCTCCAGTCAGGTTTATGGCCACAGAACCTAGATGGACTGTCCTTATGAGAATGTTCTCAAGGGCCGTGAGCTTTTATACTTCTACAGTGATAAAATAAGTCTTATGAAGATCTAATAAATAGATAAAATATCATGATGCCTTTACATATCCACGGAAATAACATCAATGCTGTTTTTAGGTGCCATTGAGTTGAGTGTGGCTCAGAGACCCGAACAACAGATACCAACCCTGTCCTGCCCTGTGCCGTGCTCATCACCTCTGACACACCTGAGCCCACTGCTGCAGTCACTGCGTCAATCCAGCTGGTTGGAGGTCTTCCTCGTCTTCACTGACCCTCCACCTTTCCAAACACGAGGTCTCTCTCCTAAGAAGAACATCTCCCAGCAACACGCCCAAAGTGTGGGACGAAGCTTTGTCATCTTTGCCTCCGAGGAGCATTCTGGCTGCACCTTCTCCCAGATACAGCTGCGTGTTCTTCTGCCAGTTCCTGGGCTGTTCATACTCTTCTCTGACCACAGACTTTAAAAAACTTTTTTCTCTCTTCTTGTTGTGTACCATCGAATTGGATCTGACTGGCACAGGAAGGTCCCTCCTCCTCCAGTGGAGCATTTGGTGGATTCGAACCACACATCTTCAGTATTTCAGCACAGCTTCTTGCCACTAGGCTATCAGAGCTCGTACAAACTTATTTTTAAAGTGTTGGTGTTAGGTTTCAAATCTACTTGAATCCCAAAGGACCTCTTTTGAAAGTGGGATTATCCCACAGGGTTTTCTTACAGGAGCGGAAAAGAAAGCACATTTAATGGATTGACTTTCTTTCAGAAGTTCCCAGAGATAACTTTGCTACTTTATACAATTTGTCCGCTTATGGCTTCACAGTCGTTCAGAGTCACAAAGGGGGTTCTAACAGGGGTTCCAGTTGCTGTGGTGAACATTCCACACAGAGCAGCCACAGGTCAGGGGCCCCAGTCCCTCTGCCGTCACCATTACCTCCAGCACGGCCATCAGCTCGGGTGTCCCCACCACCATCAACACCATTGCTGTCATCGCCACCGACGTGGCCACCACTGTCACCACGACCTGAGGCCCCACCGCCATCCAAGCTGGAGGCACCGAGTATCGGGAAGGGAAGGGAACAGAATGACACTGAAAAGGTCCAGCTGTCAAAGACGATGCAAATAAGCACAGCTTTAAGGTAAACGCTCTTAGCTTTTGTGAGGTAACACGTCAAGACAGTGGGCAGCGATCTCTGCCGTGTGTTTGTTGGTTTCTGTTTTGCTTTTACTCCTTTTTAAAGTAACTACTTAATGGAATCTTAGTTTCTCATAAATGGGCTGTGTACATGGACAGCTGCTCTACATTTTAAAACATTTTTTTTAAAAGAGGGATTGTTGTTGTTGTTGTTAAGTGCCGTCGAGTTGCAGGCGACTCAAAGCGACCCTATGAAGGAGAGTCCTCAACGCCTGTGTGTCTTTCATCCTCTCTCCAGGTTCATAGGGTTTCCAGAGGCAAGCTATTATGGAAGTGGATGCCACTCCTGCTTCCACGCTTGTTTTAATCGGAGAGCTCCACCCTACTCTCTGTCCACATTGGGTCTACTCCATTTTTCTTTGTAACACTATTGTATGTTTATTTTTTTATTCTTTTTAAAAATTATACATTAGTTTGCTTTTTTTTATAGCATATTCTTCTCATTTAATTTCTTTCCCCATTCATTCACTGTTGCATTTTCCTCTCTGCTCACCTCCCTCCCCCCAGTTAGTTTTTCTCTTTGAAAAGAAAAAAGAATTCTTTCACTGTTATACAATTCTCCCCCACTGCCCCCCCCCCAAAGTCCACTTTACTATACATTTCCTTTTTTGGACTCTTGTCATGACAATAATACCTAATCTATATTCCTTTTAAACAGCTCTCCCCCTCATCTGTTTCAATGCAATATACTTTATTCCCTCTTTTCTTAGGTTCCCCCCAACCCCAATGTCAGTCCCTTTTTACAACACTGGCACTATGCAGTATTTGTCCTTTTGTGATGGAGATATTTCACTCAGAATAATGTCCTCCAGGGTCATCCGTTTTGTATAATATTTCATGAGTTCCTTATTTTTCAAAGCAGTGTAGTATTCCATTGTGTGACTATACCAGAGCTTCTCTATCCATTCGTTTGTTGATGGACACTTGGATTGTTTTCAACTTTTTGCTATTGTGAACTAAGCTGCGATAAACATGGGTGTGCATATATCTGCTTGGGTGGCAGTTATGGTTTCTTTGGGGGCAATTCATCTCTTGATTACATAACAGTAATATTCATTCTTAGATGTCTAGCTGACGTTATGGAAAGTTGGTCTAATTTTTCTCCAGCACATAAAGATAAATCAAAAAGTTATTGAGTACTTCCTAAACGTTTTGAGGTAATTATAGACAGATGGACCAAAATAGGTAACTCTGAGCCTGTATCAAATGATAAGGCACCAAAGCGAATCTGTACAGTAAGGACCGGCCTCCCTGAGGCACATTTTATGCAAGAGTACTTCTTCCTGACGTCTTTCATTCTCTTTACAGAGTGTTCTGGAAATCGACCACATGGAGAACGACAAGATTGAAAACGGACACAAACAGGGAAGCTACCATTTCATCCCAAAGAAAAGATGCGAAAAATCAAAAGGTGAAGTTGAGTATCGATGATCATGGCCAGAGGACCTCTGGGGACGCAATCACACTTCCCTGTTCCATATGCAAGCAGGAAATTGACCTCCCTAGCATTTTCTTCCACAAAAAGCAACATGAAGGCCTGGCAACTCTGCGGTTTCACTGGATGGGTAAAAAGAAGCCACCCCGGGCAGAGATTCTGGCCCAGAGACAGTTCTTAATCAATAAACTGTTGTCATCGTTTGTGCTCAGTGAAAAGGCCCTGCAGACCATTAACAACAACTTTGAGCTTGTTTGGAGGGAACACATACCCGCATACTATAAGATTGTGGATAACCTTGAAAGCAGTTCTGTGTATTCTCCAGAAATTAGCCATGTGTTGATTAAAGGAATGGCCATTTGTGAAGACAGGAATGCTTCGTGGAGATCTTCCATGGGCAACACATTCACTACTGTGGATAATTTTGGCAAGAAACACAATGTGCTCTTTTTTGGGGTGTTTGATGGGCACCGTGGTACCTCAGCGGCGGAGTTTGCAAGAGTGGAACTCCCAGTTTTACTTCTCCATCAAATGTCCACGTTGGATCCCTCCTACCAAATGAGCCCCGAAGAGCAACAAGTCATCGACTCCTTCAGCACCGTGTTTACAGAAGAATACGTAAAAATCGAAGACCAATTCTCTTCCACGCCGAAAAGGACAGAGATATTTGACGGTGAGCTGGAGGGCATACACAAGGCCTTCGCGAAAGCATTTTGGAGAATGGATAGACTTTTGCGTCTGGGAAGGAAGGAGGCGTCCAATGTTCTGTGGAGTGGCTGCTCTGTACTTACCTGTCTGCTGGAAGGTACCGTTCGAAAACAGAGCCCGGAGCTGTATGTCACCGAGAGCACCTCTTTCAGGCAGATGCCAGAAATCACTTCTGGAATATTACATGTGGCAAATGCTGGTACGTACAGGGAGTGATGCCAGGTAACACCTTTAACTCGTGGATCCCTGTGCCATCAGAATGATTTAACTTAATAGCCTATTATTTAGTGACTTATTAATGCCACGAACCTTCATTGGCCAATTAAAAAAAATCTCTAAGTCTGCACACCAGCTGTAGATACAGCGAACATTTTTTTCTTACTTTTTTTCATTTTTTAACTATTAATTTTAATGAAAGTTTACAGAGACTTTGGATTTCCATTCATTCATTATTGCACTTTTCTCCCTGGCCCCCCCCTCACCCAGTTCTCTCTTGTCTTTGAAAAGTAAAATTCTTTCATTTTTATAAAGGAGGTAGAGATACATTATGAGACAAAAAAAGGAAATTTTCCAAGTGTCGCACCAATAGGGCTGTTAATGCATGCAAGAAGCAGCTATGGTAAGTAGCTGCACTGCAATCCTGAAGGCATGCAGTTCAAATCCACCAGCTGCATCACCGGAGGAGAATGGGGAATCTCCTCCCATGAGATTAACTGCCTCTGAAAGCCCGCTGGGGAGTCAGCTACGGGCTGGTTCTGACTCTATGGCACACACAACTCCAGTGACATCTGGAAAAAAGAGCAAGCCAGTGGCCACATTTCCTTTTTCAGGAGAATAACAAGTTCTCTGGATGTTGTTGATAGAGTATGCAAACTGGTCAAGTTGTTCTGGTAATGAATACATTTTCAATATGTCATTCTTCCATTAAATGACAACAAAATATTAATATAATCTTCTCGTTATTGTTATGTGCCATCGAGTCGCCTGCAACTCCTAGCAACCCTAGGTACAACAGCCCTAAATCCTGCTCTATCCTGTGCCAATCTTATTGTCTCTAACA